TGCTCCCATGCAGTGTTATTAAGATGCCTATGTTTAATTTATGATCTGAGACCATCAAAGGGGATCTGTTGTCCCAGAATCATTCCTTCCATATATATTGCCTCATTCTCTGTCTGTCTCTATTTTCTCATCCCCTTTATCTCGTTAGAGCGGCTGTGGGTTCTTCACGAGGATGCACTGCTGCCACACACACTCCTTTAGGGCAAACGCTAGCAGCCTGAACTGAGCAGCCACACACGTTTCGACGGACACACACGAGAAAAATCCACAGCTGAGTCTGCTTAATATCAGAAGAGCATCATGTGACGTGGCTTGTCTGATGTGACGTTATTTCACAGGCGCAGAGAGCCTGTCTGAAATATATCCTGTGTCAATTCAGGACTAGTCCACACGTAGCCGATTTTTTAAAAAAACAACGAACATCCGCCCCTCAAAAAACTTGCATCCACACCACCTCGTTTAAAAAAAAAAACTCTGTCCACACGTACCCGGATAAATACGTTGTTAAGGACATGCCAGACCTGTAGGCGGCAGTACTTCCCCCGTTCTTAACCTCGTCCTTCGTCTGTGGTCTTCCGCAAGGAGCAGTAATTCCGCTTGCAAAAACAAACAAGCAAAAAGCGCTTGGACAATTGATAAAGCGAGCGCAGCTCTGAGGGCATCCATGCTGTCCGCTAGTGTAAACACAGGTCGCACACGTGAGGTCAGCATTTTTTTGTCGTGGAAAGTGACGTTGCGGACCTTAAAACTCCGGTTTTGTCCGTCCACACGCAGACACCCAAAACGGAGAAAACGCAGATCTTCACTTTGGCCGGAGGTTTTAAAAAACTCCGTTTTCGTGTGGATTACAGGCCAAAACGTAGGAAAATATCTACGGTTTGGCAGATCCCCGGCTACGTGTGGACAGGGCCTCAGTAGTGCAGCAGGAGATAACACTCTCAGCTTTTGCCAGTGTGCCATCTTTTTACTTGTGCATGGCTAGAAGATGCATCGAGATAGCTACTATTTATGGGTTTTATTACAATTTGTGATAACGACTAGAATGTTACGGGGAGAAATATGCTTTTAACCCTCTGGAGGCAGGCATTGCAGATTTACATCGTTAAGACCTACCTACCTGGTTACTCCACATTCGTATTTCTTGAGTATTTTTTTACTCAGAAGTGCCCCTGAAAGACTTAGTTTTTCATCCTTTCATCAAAACTTATTTTGAGCCTGAGAGGGTTAAAAAGGTCTTGACCCTAACTACTGACTTAAATATTTCACTCGTTTTGTATCCCTCGTGTTAACAATAAGAACTTAATAAATACTTTAAAGTGTTTTTTTTTGCAGTGAAACTAGTTGGCTAATTGTGGTTCTAGAGGTACAATTGTAGACTTTAGTAAAAACAAAAAACTCTAAACCCAAAATTCCACTATCTTCGCTCCGCCCCCGCTTTCCGCTGCCGCTCGCTTCCGAACTCAAATTATACTGTACCCGCTCTACAACAGACCTGAGGTGCGCAAACAGGCATGCGCGGGATTTTTGAGATCTTGCGATGCAGTCTGTGCAATAAACGCGGAAGTTAGATCCAAACACCCGTCGTGTGGGAGAAGCATCGAAATGAACTGTTTAATCTGCCCATCATTTGTGTTGAGAGATCAGCAGTGTTTGGATCAACAAAGGGTGACTACTTTGATAGTAGAAACTGTATTTATGGCTTACTTTTGTGCATTTAAAGTTCAACCGCCATTGATAGTTGTTAAAAGTTGTTAAACCTGTGCATATGAAACAAAAAACGCTTTTTGTTTATTGATTTATTGTGAAATAACGGAAGCTGTGCTTGCTCCCTTTCCTGTTGGGCGGCTGTGATTTCTGTCCATTGACTGCGGAGGTGCTCCGGCGTCCAGCAAAAATAGAATTGATCCTATTTTTGCCGGATGGCGGAACGGCGGGCAGTAGTGGAACAGCTCTGATTGACTACAACGGGACCGTTTTTGCTGCGGAGTTCGTGCCGGAGCAGAGATAGTGGAATTTTGGGGTAAGAATTTTTTTACAGTGCAGAACAGCAGATCACAAAGCAAAAATCAGTTGTTACATATGGTAAAAATGCATTGTTTATGGGCATTTTATCTTATTTTGTGTCTGCATTTTCTTACAATGCAAAACAGCACTTCTTAAAATAATGTAAACATTGATAAATATGGTAAAAAAAAAATTTGTTTTGAGTTGAATAAATCTGCCATTGGGATAAGCAAATGTGGCTTGGCTAAAACTAGCAAATGTGCCTTTAAACTACACACAACTGGTCTGGTTGTGTGTAGTTTACAGGCACACGACAGATTTGTTTGCTAGTTTTAAGAATTCTTGCCGGGCAACTTTTGTGAAACCCAGTGGCAGATTTTTTTTTATACTCAACACAAGACGATTTTATCATGTTTAAGATTTTTTTAATTATTTCAAGTAAAGCTTTTATTTTTTACAGTGTAAGAAAATATTTTCAAACCAAAAGTAAGATGAAATGTGTTTAAATAAGCCTATTTTCCTTCTTGAAAATCACATTTAGCAGTGCAGTAACAACATAAATATGTTCACTGCAGACGTACAGCTCCGGCACAAGGGAAAAATAAACTTTAAAAATTATACCAAGTTTGAAAGTGCATCAATCCTTTCATGAGAAAACAGACAGATGGAAAAGTTGATGGACTTACCTTCTTACGGTAAGTGTAATGTACAAAAACCCATCACTAGAATAAGAAACAAACAAAAACAACAACATCTGGATGAAAAATCTTGCCTCTTTATCAGTGATGTCATGTGCACAGCGTCCATTCACCCTTTAAGTCAGGCCTATGTGACACTGATCAGCAACAGCAGAAAAGGCTCCACTTCCTTCCAGATCACGTTCCAGCTACTCCAGATTTAATTTAAAAAAGGTCATTTTAAAGAAGCTAAACTTTGCTGGTTTTTATGCATCTGTGCTATAATATTCAGGCATTTGTTTAACTTTGTACCGTACTGCAAGACATTTATTTGTCATGCCAAACTGACGAAGGTGGTCTTTGCTTCTTTGACCCTTTTCCGTCTCACTTTGAGGCTTGAGTCGGTGTGCGTATCTAGCTGTCTCGGTTGCTCTCGTTCAGCTCCCACCAGCCGCAGGTGTGGTCCCGTGTCCTGTCTGAGGCAGACAACCAGGTGAAACAAAGACAACAAAGCAGAAAGATGGAGTTGAGAAGGTGAGCAGCAGCAGCAGTGAGTGAGCTTGTGAAAATGATTCATCCGTCCACTTTTATTGAACGTGTGAGTCTGCCTGACGTGAAGAGGGACCTATTTTGTTTGTAATCGACACTGACATGCGAGGCTACTTGTACATTTGGCTTGATGTGTGTTAGAAATCCACCTTGAGGCAAATCAAAGAAAGATTGAATAGAAAAATGTGCGTTACACCTTGTTAGGCACGAACTACATGAAAATCCTGCTCGAGGAAATGAATCATCTGGACTGTGACTATGTAATGTTTCACGCTTTTCCTAATTATTATTGTCATTTTTCTTCTGGATCTCAAGAGACAAGCATAATACTAGTAATTTTATGAGCCTTTGTCTCAGTCCAAGACATTACCTTGTCATCTGGATTCTTTGGTGGAAATATTAAATATCCTTTGTGCCCTGACCTCAGAAAAAAGAAGAAAAGATGACGGATGCCAGATGTGCTTTTCATCGAAGCAAGTTCTTTTTTTAACAGTAAAACTGTGATAAATAAGATCATTAAATGTCCTTTTTTCCCTCCTCTGAAATTCTTTATTTTTGGCTGTTTTCCACGCCAACCTCCATTTTTATCTGGTCTCTCCTGCGGTGGTTAAATGTTCGGCTAATGTTACGGGCTTGTCAGGACAATTTTTCTGGGCTTTTCTCGTCCTGGTGCTGTGGTCCACCCATAGAGATGGTTTCAAAAGCTGCTATCCCTGATCCCCAGGGGTTGGTAATTACTGCACACAACTATTGATGACTGTTGCTTTTAACTTTTGCCTAAGTACCCGTGAAAAAACTTCCTTGTAAAATAAATGCTGAATGTTTTAGGGCATCTCGGTTTTTCCACAAGTCTTCTTGTTTATGATGCGACTCTGATTGTAATCGTAGTTGAGTTGAAGTTTTATTCCTTCCATTGGTGACTGAACAGCAGAGTTATTCCGAGCACATCACGGTAGACTGTTTACGATGCAAATGATTTGGTTGGGAAAGTTGCTGATTGGCACATTTGGTCCCGAGGCGGCAACATTCACTTTAGAGGGTGGTGAAAGACCCCTTTCTATCAAATAGATCTGTCTCTCCTCCTCTGCGCTAAAACATCACAGAGGAGGCCAGGCCTGCTTGGCCTCCTCTGTCAGCAAATGTCACTGCTAATTATGACAGGCTCTTTGTTCCATAACAAGTCCATGTTGGCTTTGTTAGGTCTGTTTGACTGTTTCTCACACATGAATTGGGCTCTGATGACCCCTGTTCTGCTAGGGGGTGCTGTGTGGAGGTAATTGCTCCAATATCCTGAGCTGCAGGGATGCATAGTGCTGACATGCTGGTGTTAGTCAAATGGGGCCATTCAGAAGGTAGGTCTGGGTTCTGCGGGAGGGCAGACGTTTACTGTATCACAAAAGTATTTTCTGGTTGTGTATTTTTTTTTTTACTTGCCTACAAGTAAATCGTGCAAATTGTTGCAAAAGTCCAACCCAACATTTTAAAAGGAGGTTCACCGTTAGCATTGACAACTCCATAGCACTCTGGAACATGTTCAGGCTCGTGTAGATAGAGATGGAGATAAAACACCTCCATCCATCCTTATTCTGAACTCGCTCGTCCATGCAGGGTCACGGGGGACTGGTGCCTATCTCCAGCAGTGAACGGGCAAACAGGCTGGGTACATCCTGGACAGGTTGCTAGTCCATCACAGGGCAACGCAGAGACACACAGGACAAACGGCCATTTAGACCGACCAATTAACCTAACAGTCATGTTTTTGGACTGCAGGAGGAAGCCGGAGTACCCGGAGAGAACCCACGCATGCACAGGGAGAACATGCAAACTCCATGCAGAAAGATCCCAGGCCGGGATACGAACTCAGGATTCTCTTGCTTCAAGGTAACAGTTCTAAGCACTGCTCCACTGTGCAGCCACCACAGAAGATGTGTTGAAATAAAATGTGAATGCCCGCTTTACAGATTTAGCCTGGCCCAGTTGTCAGCTATTCTCGGTGTTAAAGGTGCATGAAGTAAGAAAGACATCTTTTTGTCAAATTTGGGTACTGCAGTCCAAGTATCAGAACAAACAAGTCCACTTAGATCAGCTGCAGAAGTTTCTAGATGAGTGAAGACAACTCATACACAATAAATTGGTAAGTAGATAAACACACAATAACTTTACTGACGAGTTGCAGTCTATATATATATATATATATATATATATATATATATATGTATGTATGTATGTATGTATGATGTATATATGTATGTATGTATGTATGTATGATGTATATATGTGTGTGTGTATATACATATATATTTATATATTTATATATATATATTCTAATTCTAATTTTCAAATTTCATTGTAAGCTCAACATTAGCCCCCAGCCTTCTCTACCCAATATTAGAGTAAAACAAGCAGATGCCATGGCTTCTTATGGGCCATTCCCATCTGTACCGGGTCGGCCCGGGCCGGGTAGCGTAGGTTGTTTACATATCTGGGTGGCCTGGTATTTTTCCGGGCCAACCATGGCTCATTCTCGGCCCTCTTCTCGAGGGGGTTTGCTTCAGGCCGACCAGGGCCAACACACCCACTGCTGACAGCAAATTCACACCTTCCATTAGAGCAAGCCTCTGATTGGTGGGTAGAATCAGCCCACATGGGCTTAAGACAAGGATGTGTGGAATCAACCGGGCCAGGCTGGGGCCGACTGGGGCTACCCGGCCCGGGCCGACCCGGTACAGATGGGAATGGCCCATTTGAGGTTACAAGAAAATGTCATGGCTCTAGAACCAGGAAGTATGGAGGCGGGACAGATTGTAAACAGTGACTATGTCCCTCTTTAGCTTTTTAAAAGTAGAAAAAACGACAACCCCTGAGCTGGCTGTGAATGAAATCTGTTTCAACGTTTTCTTCCTTCCAACATGATTGGGACGTTGTCATGGTCTGCGTTCTGCGTCTCCCTCATGTGTATCCTTGTGTTATCCATCCCTCTCTAGGTTCCCCTCACATTTTCCCTTAGTCACCTCACTTATCATTAGTCTTCTGTTAGTGTTTATCTAGTCGCATTCTCCCTTTAGTTCATTTTGTTCCCTTCCCCATTGTTAGGTCTGGTTTCCTCCCCTGCTCTGTTGTCCTCTGCCTGTGCTCGGCTTCTGACCAAGTCCTCCAAACACACCCACATCACCCCGCTTCTCCTCCAGCTTCACTGGCTGCCAGTCAACTTCAGGGTTCATTTCAAGATCCTGGTTCTGGTCTATAGGGCCTTACATGGACAGGCACCATCTTACATTGGTGATCTTCTTAGTCCCTACACCCCCAGCAGGCCCCTGAGGTCCAGTGACCAAAGCCTACTGGTTGTGCAGCACCAGGCTAAAGGTCAAAGGTGACAGATCATCTGCTGCTGTGGCCCCCAGACTCTGGAACTCTCTCCCCCTGAGCCTGAGATCAGTGGACTCAGTGGTCTCCTTTAAAAAGCAGCTGAAGACTCACTTGTTCAAGCTGGCTTTTGTATGACCTTCTTCACCTCTCTCTCTTTATTCTGCTCTCCCCACCTATTCCACCTTCCTCAGGATCCACTGATTTCCCTCTTTCCTGTTCACTCTCTCTCTTTCTTAACATTTTTTTAATCACAATCGTCTATTTTTTTCTCATTTAAAATATATTTTTAAACATTTTCTAAATGTTTTTTTTATTTTAACATTTTTTGTTTTTGTGAAGCGCCTCGTGATTTTTATCTTGAGAGGCGCTATAGAAATGATATTTTCTTCTTCTTCTTCCTCTCTGTTAATTAGTCTCACCTGTGCACAATTCCCTAATCACCCAGCCCTTTTGTATATGTATAACCCTGTCTACCAGTGTGTTGTTGGTCCATTGTTCGTGTGAGCGTTGTTTTGTTTCTCCCCCCCCCCACCCCCCTTCTTGGTCTCTATGTTATTTGGCTTCGTGCCCTGCTTGGATTTTATTTGTTTTTTCATCCTAACAAAGGAATGATTTCTTTCACATCCGCTCTTGCTTCCTGTCGTTCTGGGTATCTGCTTTTTGGGTCCAACTCCCCTGGCTCTCAGCGTGACGGACGTTAGACATTTGTGATTATTTCACAGTGAATATCTTACATATTACACCTTTAATCTGTCCTATTTAAATTTTGCTTGCGACTTTGGCTCCCCTGAACAAAAACAGAACAATGTGTCACAATAAGAAAACACGTGTTTAATCATTTAGTTTAGTTTAAGGCTATGTAATGCTCCTCTGCACTCCTAACGAGATCTAATGTGTACTTGCTGAAATATTGTATACACCCGAACATTCAGTCAATATCTGCAGATGAAACTAACGCTGTCTTCTGAATCAATTTGAAACCTCTTTTTGAAAGGAAAGAGCTTTTATTAAATTGTAATAAAAGATGTTGCTTCAATTATTTATGTGAGATCCTATGATCATTAATGCTTCCAGCAATAAAAAAGATTCTTTAGCTGACTCACTAATCTGGTTTTAATAATTAATATTTACTCTTGTGATACTAATCATTACAATCAAACGGTCACAGTGTTTAAGAAAGGCTTTGACGTGTGTTTTAGAATAAAAGTGATTTTCTCGGGAGTCTCTAACTTATTTCTAGAAATCGGAGTGATGTCACTTTTCCTTGGATTGCTTTGTTGGACTAGCCAAGTGAACTGGACCAAATTCTTGCTTTGCAAAGTTTGGTCTAGGAACGCTCCACTGGAACCTCTGCAGCCCCTAACAGCATTCTGGCTGGCCAATCACAGCTCTCTAGAGGGGTTTTAAACACATAAAGAGAGCTGTGACTGGTCCATAATGGTGGGCCAATCATAGTGCTCTATCTGCTTAGTGAACAAATCACAGAGCTTTATCCGCTTTGTGGGCCAATCAGGACACTCTATATGCCTGGTGGGTGGGATGATGCAACAGAGTGAAACAAGATGGAGACAGCTCGTTTGAAACGGCTTTTACATCAATGTTGGACTATCAGAACTTGGGCTTCATTAGAATCAGGTGCAGACAGATGTATTTAAGTGCTTTTTTTAATTTAAATTTTTTAGAAAAAATGATGCGTTTTCTCCTTCTTCAACTGCGGACCGCCTCATTTACCGATGGCTGTTGCGGTGACTATGTCACATTCATTGTCCAGTAGCATGCGGAGATCATTTGAAAGACAACGGTAGAACCCGCCCCACAACCGAGAGCCGTCAATGGAGCGTTGCCAGACTAAATAATACATTTATTTAGTCTGGCTTGCCAGGCTATTGTTGGACTGAATTGGGATCTGAATATTTACAAAACACAATATTCCACGAACCACAGGTGATATTTGTCCTTCCACAAATAAGGGTGTTGTATGCTTTGCAGGGGCGGCGTTAGGCCCGGCTACTTGGGCTGAAGCCCCGGATGTTTCATAGGAAGCCCCGGATCTAAATCGCGGAAGTAACATGCAGTACGTCTGTTTCTTTCAAAGCTCATTAGACTAACATGCAGTACCAAAGTCCAACAGAGAGGGAGCAGCTGGCAGTAGTTTGTATACAGCCTGCCTGAGCCTCCACCACTGAAGAAGAAGCCATTCAGCAGCTGGCTTCTTCTGCAGTCTCTGCCTGAAACGCACGAGTGAAGATGGACATAAGGACGTTTTTTAGACCAGAAGTACCGCGACAGAACCCCAGCTTTGATGAGACTGGTGCTGACTCAGGTTTGTGAGTCTTATTAGAAAATATTTGTTGTGCTGCTGGTTTGCCTAAAGTTAGCTTACTATCAGGTAAAGTTGTTGGAGAAAGAAAGGGAATATTTACTATCATCTCACACTAAACACTAACAGGAACAATACTCTGCCCTGAAAATGCTTCATATGTAGCTTCAGAATAATAATTATGTGGTACAAAACATATATGATGTTGACTAGTGCGTGTCACGTGCGTGTGCGTGCGCGCGTGTGCGCGTGTGCGCGTGTGTTAAGCCCCGGATGTTCTTCAGTCCTTAATCCGCCCCTGATGCTTTGGCAGTTTTTTTTTAAAGTTGTACCTTCACTTTATAAAGTGGCTTTTTTTGTTTTATTTACTTATCTTTGTCAAGAAGTGGGTGGTGTCAGGGTGCCCAGTCCCAAAGCACTCGTATGCAGCCCTTTCCGCATGCTGCAGTCTCCACTGCAATCTAAACAGGAGATGTTTACCTTTCTGTCTCCTGATTGCAACTGATTAGCGTGCTTTGCAGGATTTAGCACATGTTCTCCGTGCACGCAAACTCCCATCTGCTGAGGCATTTGCCCCCTTAAAAGAAGAAAATGCTGTAAAATGCGGAAAACGTGGGCCATGAAACAGTTTCAGATTCTTTCAGTCAGGAATGTGTAATAAGCTCAAGATTCACTGATAAATACACATGTATCTTTGTTTGAGGTACACAACATTACTGTGTGGAAAATGCAAAGTACAGTTAATTCCTGACATGGCAGAATTTGCCCTGCTTGTGCAGCGTGCATAACAAACGCCACCGGGTAAATCTCCTTGTCAATAGCTTATCGGTGACACTGTCCGTAGCAATTGTATTTCTCGTTATCAGGGATTCCTGTTGGGAGAAAATGATCTTAATTTGATCAGCCTCATAAGCTCAGATCCCCGCTCATCCCGTTATACAAACGACCCGATGATAAAACTTTACACAAAGACGGTGAAAATTAGCAAGCTAAACACACGCTAATGCCATTGTCCCTTCATCTCTGATGTGCGGCTGAGCTCCTCCGTGGCGGCCACGACTCACCCAAGGATGAGACAGAATAGATGACAGGAAGCGTTGCTTAAAACAAGAATCAACTGGTCCTAAAAGGAGACTGGAGATCTTGTTTCATGAAATAATGCAAAGAATTATTGTCCAGCTCCTTGGCTCTTAGC